AATACGCTTGTTTGCACTTCAGTGGGCCAAATCAAATCTGATATTGTTTTACCTTTTATTTGGTGTGTGGAAGGTGTGCAGAAGAGGGGGTAGTCTTATACGGCGAGTATATAACAAACTCTGTATTTTGAGTGGAAATGTTAGGGGGTCATCTTATACGCCCAGTCGTCTTATACGCCGGCAAATACGGTACCTCACAGAGTTATCAATCAGACAAAATAATAGAAAATCCCTGAAAACTCTTAAGCATTATTCAGGTGTACAATAATAATTATACCATTTTATAGCTTTATTACCCTCAAGTTCATAACTATGTATTACTACATGGGTTTATTTTAAAAAAGACTTTTTTTCATTAAGTAAATGAAAAAAATAGCTTTGCTTAAAATACTTAGTTGAAAAACAGAAATAAAATATTAAAAACTAGTACGATTTAGTTTTAAAATCTGCCATAAAAAATGCAAGTAAAGTAAACATTAACTCAAACCCCAAGAGAAAACTAAGACAGTTTTAATTTATTCTTAACTTTAAGGCAAACTCATCCATCATTCAATATTGTTTACCTTGTAAGAGCGTTGCAATCTGGAGAGATTTCTGAGATGGATGTTCTTTCAGAATGTCTAAGACAGTTCTACCTAAGCTATCCTTTATGTTGGCATCGATTCCTGAAAGAAAAAGAAAACCCCACTAGATGTACACCACTGGAATGTCATCAGAAGACACTGTTAATACATAATGGCTCTAACTTCAAACATATACAGACCAAGCACTGAAGGTGATTTTTTTTTAAATTAAGCTACACACACACACACACACACACACACACACACACACATACACGATCATGAAGTATGTAATTAAAACACCTTTGGAATGATTTTAATTCTGAAAATATATATTGTACTAAAGAACTTATTGTAATGTAGCAAATAACTTTCACAACCCCCAAAAAGTTTATAAACTTTCCAAACATCTAACCACAAACAAAGCCAGTTTTCACGATCTGGTCTCAAATGTAAGTTCATAATAATAAGATTATGTATTATTTTTATTTGTGTAGGGGTGTGTGACCAGCATATATTTAGTCGATTGCCTCAAAACATTTATTATATCACTGTGTTACATGTCAAAGTTAAACAAACGTGAAATTTAAACTGTGTCAACACAATCAAAATGCAAGTCTGCCAAAGTGTTACATTTTATTTTATTTTTTTACAGAGGAAAACACACTAAATATAGTCCATAACACAAAAGACTGAAGTCAATTATTTACAAGTATAAATTTGTACACATGCCTTTTGATTCTAAAAAAATAAAATAAAATAAAATCTGACCTCAGTTCCAATTTTATCTCATTTCAATCAGGATATACATAGGAAGACAAATGAGCCCACTCTGTTGCTCCTTCAAAGCCTTCCCTCCAAAAGGCTTCCTTTACCATCACTGCAGCTTACAAACAATAGCTACTCAGTTGATGAAGTAACTGGAAGGAGAATTTGCCTTAAGGATAGGGAACTCTAATTTCTGCTTACCATTGTTCACAATATAAAAACCTAGGGAAATATGTTCTTTAATAAGCAAAACAATTGTCATTACTTCCTTCCTCTTGTAGGAGGCACAGATTTCTTTTCCTTTTCGAAGTTTCTCTAGTATATTTTAATGTGATTTAAATGTATAAAACTGTAATTTCCAAGAGCTTGTAACAAAAACAGCTATTGAGCGATAAAAGGAGCACATTTATATCAATTCCATCAAACCACTGAGGCTCAATTCTATTTGGTTGTCGAAAAAGTCATGACGCATTTTTGTAACGAAGAACATAGAAAAAATATGTCATGACTTTTCCGACAACCCAATCTATGATATGAATACATATCTGCAATTTGAAGATAAGAAGTATGGGTGATTATGTAAAACAAAATTGTGTCATGTTCCTGGACTCCTGAAACAGACATAATATTTGGCAGATTAAGTTCCCTGGGGAATCATGATAGTTACCTGTTTCTAACAAAACTCTAACAACGTCCACCTTTCCAAACAAGGCTGCTTCATGGAGTGCACTCCCTTTTTCTGTCTGGAAAAAAAAGAGAGAGAAAAAGAAACAGAAGCACAGTTGCAGTAGGAATACTTACAGGTTAAAAAATTCTGTCGTTTGTGTATTCATACATATTCTCTGTCATCTCAGCACTCCCTGAGAAAAAGGGAGTGAGAATGAAGAAGATATTCCAGTATCTCGCCCATTATCCCAGACAACATCCAATCAATCTCTGACACAGAGCCACCTAAGTGACTTACAATTGACTGCAGATACATGAGAGAACCCAGCCAATACAGAAGTCCCAGCCATGCTCAGACTAAATCACCAACCCCAGAATTATGAGCTAAATAGCCAGTTACTGTGTTAAATCATTAAGTTTGGGGTAGTTTGTTATGCAGCAATAGCGTCCTCAGACACAGTGAAGAAGTTCACAATCTGACAGGAAACAAAGGGATCTCTGGAAGATAAGAATGCTGCTGCCAATTTGGGAGCCAAGAAACAGTCATAAAAGGAGAAAATGGTTAAAAACAAAAAAAATTTGCGGCTGACTTGAGACGGATAATAAAAGCAGGTTGGCCTTTCCTTGTGGAGAAACGAAACCTATCATGTGTGCTATCCATTCTTCAAAGCTCAGCTCAAATCACACCTCTCCGGTTCTTTCGGACTGCCCTTAAGCATAGTGATCTTTCCTTCATGAGTCACGCATACACAGCACATCATTGTGGAAGGAGGTCTCGAGTTTAATCCGTATGTCTAAATTCACATTCTTGGTTTATGAGCTATGTGTCCTTTGGCAAAGTTTCTTAAGTCTTTGAATCCGACTCCTTATCTCTTACTTAGAATTTAATAGCTCTCAATCCCACAGGAGAGATGTGAGAATTAGATTCTAAATGTGTCAACATATTAAACACAAAGTCCATACGCAAAATGTTCAAGTGAATTTTGTTCCATTCATTCATTCATCCATTCATTCATTCAGCTGTAACTGGATTCCTAGTGTGTCAGGCTGTGTACTAGATACTGGGAGAAAGGAAACAATTACTAATGATGTCACACAACTGCTATCTAGTAATAATTTTCCATGTGTATAGCCTTCAAATTAGAATGAGGTCAGAGCTTATGCCTTACGAGTATGTCTACTTATATTTCCCAACTGTATGTACATAGTGCCTTGAATTTAGTAATTACAAATATACTTGTGGACAATTTGACTAATTAAAAATAAGGTGTAAGAGTTCTATGTATAATTTGTGATGTCTGTATCTCAAAGCAAAGCAAAAGCCGTGTTGCTTTTCAGGCCCAGCTAAACCCAGGCTCACCTGACAGCTCACGTCCATGCCAGCTTCCAGCAGCACCTGAACCACGGCCTTGTGGCCATTGCGAGCGGCCAGGTGTAGCGGCGTGTGCTTCCGGGTGTTGCAGCTCATTAAGTTGGGGTGGGCGCTGATGATCATTTTGACCACTCGCAGACGCCCGTAGAGCGCCGCCAGGTCCAAGGGCGTTTCTAGCTTGCTGTTCCTGATGGTGGGATCAGTGAGCTCTTCTAGGAGAACAGCCACCACTTCCGAGTGTCCGTACTGGGCTGCACAGTGTAGGGCGGTTTCGTTTTCATTGTTCTGTGAAGACGAACATAAAATGCAAGCTTTCAGAAATTCAATTAGCCATCAAAATTTTAACACAAACATTGAAAACCTGAGATTTTGCAAAGATAAGTTTATCTATTTTGATAAGGAGGTCTAATAGATTTTATTTGATAAAGGCGTGTATCATCTAGTGTACCAAAAACATCACACTTGATTTTTATCACTTCCATAGCAATAACCTAACTTTTCCCTACATTATTTATTCCTGTTTCCAAGAATGATAAATGACTTAGTCATGTTAGTCAGGGGCACTGCTGGAACCAGATGGTCACACTGCCATGGCATTTGTTAGTGAGAGAGATTAGTAACAGTCGTAACACACATTTAACAGACCAGCTTTCCAAAAGACAGGTGTTAGGAAATTTCTAACAATGAAAGATTTATAGAAAGCTTTCCCAAATTAAGTTTCATTCTATTTTCCATATAAGTAAGATAATGAAGACATTCTGGCAACCCTAAGTTTAAATAGGATCTTTTTGAAATATAATTACGAATTGACAAACAGACCTAGACCCATTCCTAGACAAGTTACAAGGAGTATCACAGTATGACATATGCAGCTAATAAGTGCTTCCACTGAAAATCAGGAAGATTTTCCTAGAAATTTAGCAGTAAAAAAAAAAAAAAAAGTTATAATGGAGAAAACTGAACCCAGTTGCAAAGCAGATGATCAGTTCACAGCATTTGGGCACATGGTGTAGGTATGTGGGGTGTGAATATATCAGGAGGTAGAAGGGAACAGTTAGAAAAAATGTAAATAAAAAAATTTAGTAACAAAAATGAAATCCTGAATGAGGGTTTCAGAGAGAAAGGGGTGCTGCCATCGTCAGAGTCATCATCGTAACTATCACTTTGTACCAGGCGGAGTTGCATTTCATATATGTGTACTCATTTAATCCTCACTATGAGATAGATACTACTATCATTATTCCCATTTTACAGATGAGAAAAATGAAGCACTGAGTAGTTGGATAACTGGTCTTCAATTGCACAGCCACTTAGTCTGGGGCCAGGATTTGAACCCTGGTACCCTAGACCGAAAGTCGTTACTCTTAACACTGTCTTCCACAATAAACACTAGTATGAGCACTGTCATTTGCTAAGTGTCTAATAACTTTACATACATGATCTCATTTACCGCTTACAAAAGATCCTACAAGATTGGTATTATCATCTTTAGTTCCTGGACAAGGAAGCTAAAATACAGAAGGTTAAATTACATGCTTAGGCAGAATCAGGATCTTTGGGGATCTGTATTTGTCACAACCCAAAACCCATTCATGCTCTCTCAACTATGCCTCACAGCCTGCCATGCGTCGCTATATTGCCAAAGAAGAAGAACAGGAAATTAGTGATCTGAAAGCAGAATTGCTATAGATTTTTTCCCCAAAGAACACCAACTGAGTTGGAATGGGAAGGAGCTGCTTAGATAGCTGTTCTGACTAGAACAAAAAAGACAAGGAGGCTTCAAAGCCAAACTAATCTTAATGTTCCAGAAAGTAACTCAGCTTTGCTCGAGCTGAAGGTAAAGTAAGTTGAGAGCAGAGGGAGGATTTGAAAACTTAAAAAGAGGAGTGGCAAGAAAATAATGAAAAACAAATTTTAAATGAGCACTAGAGAAGACCTCTTCCTACTTTACCATTCAAATAAGTATCAGAAGATGGCGTATGAAAGCCAAACCCAGGGGGAAAACCTGCTCCTTGGAGAAAGTCAGTGAAAAGTTATGATCTGATAGACAGGGAATCCAGCTGGGGATGTTTCTTCCATCATCTGGCGGGGGGGGGGGGGGAGTCATTCCTGTTCTTGGTTTGCTGTGTTACTATAGTCTACTTCCACACAGTCACCATATACAAGTTTACACTCCCTGATTTTCTTATCTGGTTAAGTATTATAAGCCTGATAAGAAAATCAATCTTATTATTCTATACCAGGGGTCAGCAAACTTTTGAGATGGAAGAGCCAATTCTGTCCCTCACAACAATTTAAAAATTATTTGAGAGCCATGAAACAAATGAAATCACCATTGTGTGAATAATATCCTTTAAAAATTATAAATGAAACTATGATAGTTTTATTTTCATTTTCAATTTTACTTCAGAGCCACATATATGTACCCAAAGAGCCCCATGTGGCTCGCAAGCCGCAGTTTGCCGAACTCTGTGCTATACCATGGAAATATGATGCAGATATATGCTTCCTGACCAAACCAAATTTCCCCTTGCCCAGAAAGAGATTCAATCTCATTTTTCAAAATACAGCATCTCTTTGAGAAAAAGAAAAGCCAGTTATAAATAATGATTCCTCAAAGACCTCTCTACTTTTGCAAAGGCCTTACTTAGCCTAGGAAATAACCTGTTCAAAATTGAAATTTTTTGTATTAACACCAATTGTTCAGAGCTGAAGAAAAATTATGTCAGTCATTCCACACTTACTCCACATATCTGTGAAGACTGCAGCTGTGGTACCTTCATAAAAGGCATGATTGTGCGCATACTCACTAGTGATCTAATAAAAATATAATTTTAAATACACTGTGAATGAGCACCAATTGACAATTGCTAGTATGTCTACAATAAACAGACTTAAAATTGTTTTAATTCCTTTTTTTTACCAAATGGGCGCTCTCTGAAAAATCAGGACACTTCCAGACAACGAGTGGCAGAATGAATATTGGCTAACAAAAGCTATTTACCAAAAGATCTTGCTTCAAAGTAAAACTAATGGAAACTATCTAACACTAGTTGGGTTCAAGTTTGGGGGAATGGCAAGGGAATATACTTAGGAGATAAGGGTCCTCTGGGGTTTGCCATAATATTAAAGAAAAAAAAAGTGGGGCGGGGGGAGAGAAGGTAAAAGGCGGAAAAGATCAATATACAGAGAAATATAAATTTAAAACATATGTAACATCCAAAGAAAGGAAAAAACAAATCAGTTGACAAATGATAGGAAAAATACGGCAATTATAAAAACCATAATCCAGGCAGAGTCTACTTTGTTTTCAATATTATGTCACCCTAAACCCCTAAACTGACCACCAATTCTAGAGCAGTACAGAATGGTGACCTACGTTGAAGGGCTAACATGCACTTATTGGCAACAGTAAATCTCTTTGAGCCTAGCCTCTCTATAAATTTAGAATATTATCCTCCCTGTAAACCTTAGACTATAGCATATAAATCAAGAGATGACATATACACGTAGAAAAATACTTTGTAACTTTAAATATCAAAATGTACTTATTTTTTAGTTTAAAAACAATAAGCTGTATTAGAAACCAAAGATAATTTTCAGAGGTCAGAATGAAATCCTGACAATCATGCATAATTTGTGAACATCACACCATGGTGTCTTACTGGTTAAAAGCTTAAGCTTTGGCTCAGGAAAACCTGGGTTCAAATACTGGCTGCATTTCTTAGTAGCTGTGATTTCATGGTCAAGTTAGTTAATCCCTCTAAGGTGGCTTCCCCATTTTTAAAGTAGGAATGATACCTACCTCATCAGGGTGCAGCAGAGCTTAGAAAAATAATGTAGATGAAGTATTTTGCACAATGCCTGGCATATAGTAAACCCTCCATTAGTGATAGAATTTATGAGGACAATACCAAGGGGTGACTGTGGGGGGCTCTGGAATTAGAGAGACCTGAGTCCAAGCCTCACTTTGGTCACTCAGTAATGTGTGGCCTTACACAAGTTATTGGGTTGTTGGGAAAGTCATGACACATGTTTGCAACAGATGGCACTAGTTCATTTTTGGAAGTACTAGAGTCATTTGCATCTATGTTATTGCTACGTCATTTGACAGCTGACAGGTCTAGCTTCATTCTAAAAAAAAAAAATCGAGTGATTTGGTTGAGTTTTAGAGATTTTACAAGTTGAAAATGGAAGACCAAACTGTGCATTTTTGCCATATTTTACTGTTTTACTTCCATAAAGGGAAGAACGCATATCAAGCTTGTGAAAAGTTGCATAAAGTTTACAGTGACAATGCTCTACAAGAACATCAGTGCCAACAATGGTTCATGAAATTCCATGCTGGTGATTTTGATCTCAACGACGCTTCCCGGACACGGACACCCACCGAGGTCGATGACGAGAAAATAAAGGCATTGATCGAGTCAAACCCACATTACATGATATGAGAGATTGCAGAAACATTGAATATCCATCATTCAAGTGTTCACAACCACCTGAAGAAGCTGGGATACATAAGCAAGCTCAATATTTGGGTTCTGCATGAACTCAAAGAAGTCCATTTGACAGCATGTATAAACATCTGCAATATGCTCATTAATTAAGCAGCCAGATCCCCATAAATCTTTTTTTCTTTTTAAAGATTTTATTGGGGAATTGGGGGAGATGAACAGCATTGGGGAATCAGGGAAGGGGAACAGACAAGTTGCTGTCCTTTTGTTCTTCAGCCTAGTTGTGGAGGATGTCGCTTCACTGGCCCATGTTGGTATTATCATTGCACTTTTCCCAGGTGAGGCAGATCTGTTGCTGGCCATTGGACGGCTGCTCATGGTGGCTCACAGCAACTCACGAAAGCTCATGCCTGCTGCTAGCCAGCCCCACTGCAGCCTACTCCGTCGCTGCTGGCGACTCACAGCAGCCCAGCTCCAGGTAGAGCTGCTGTTCACCATCTTAGCTGTAGAGGGCGCAGAGCCACTGGCCCTCACATGTGGGATCTGAACCAGGGCCCTGCTGTTCAGAGCTGGCGTCCCAAGCCAACTCTTAACCAACGCGCCATTCAGCTGGCCCTAAAACAATCCTTTTTTGAAGTGACTGATAACTGGTGATGAGAAGTGGATTATTTACAACAATGTGGTGCACAAACAGTCTTGGTCCCGACGTGATGATTCAGCTCAAACGACATTCATCAGAGGAAGGTTATGCTCTCAGTATGGTGGGATTTTAAAGGTGTGTTTTTCGAGCTCCTACCAAGGAACCAAACAATCAATTTGAATGTGTACTGTCGGCAATTAGACAGTTTGAACAAATCCATCATCCAGAATCGTCCAGAGCTTGTCAATTGTAAAGGAGTTGTGTTCCATCGCGACAACGCAAGACCACACGCAAGTTTTATCACCCGTCAAAACTGATTGGAGCTTGAATGGGATGTGTTGCCACACCCACCTGACCTTGCACCATCAGACTTCCACTTGTTTCGCTCTCTTCAAAACTCCTTGCATGGTATAACGTTCAATTCAGATGAGGAGGTAAATCAGCACCTTGTTCAGTTTTTCGCAAAGACAGATCCTTCTATGAACGAAGAATTATGAAGGTCTGAAAGATGGCAAAAGGTTATCGAACAAAATGCGCAATATATCATTGATTGATCTTTGTCCTTTATATAAATAAATGACCTTTGAAGAACATAGACAAAATACATCATGACTTTTCCAACAACCCAATATTTAGCTTTACTGAGCCTGATTTCTCATCTATGAAACAAAAGTGATATCACTTCAGAAGACTGTGAGAATTAATTAAATACCATATTGCAGGTGAAAGTACTTAGCATGATAGCTGGCTATCTTATGTCTCAATAAATGTTAATTATCATTTTCATTCCTTCCCTCCCTATTGCTTAAATACATAAAGGTTCATAACTAGTACATTTCTGTCTCATTCAGAGGGCAGGAGGAAGGAAATAAAGCAAAAATCAAAAGTTACTTATGAAAATAAAATTCTCACATCAGAAACTTTTAGGAGAGATGACAATGAATGAGAGTACCATGTCAGCACTAAAGGAATATATACATAATCACAAACAAAAAATACTGAAAGCATGGTTTTAAGAATCTCAAGATTTTCAACTTGTTTCTAGTAGGAACCACAATACAAAGCAATAAGAGGAAAGAATTTTGATATTCAATGTCCATTAAAAAGGACTTTTTTTTATAGTTTAATTGACCTGCTCAACATCACAGAAAACAAGGGTTTCTCCTTTAAACATACCATTACAGTTACATGCCATTTAAAATCTTCAAATTTCAAACATAAATGAATTCTGGGTGTTTTTCTTATATCCATGTCATTTAAAAACTATTTTGTTTGTAAAAACTAACATCCTATTGTTTAACCTTGGTTTGTTTTTCCATCTTATTATTTCAGGTTTGCTTTGGGGCACTCAGACAGTTTTAAGAATAACCACCAGATGGCTCATACCACAAATGATCTTTCAACTTTTGGTTTTCTGAAGAACAACATTCTCATAAATTTCCTTTTTTTAACATGATCTGCTGATAAAGATAGCCATATCTGTTATTTTTTACATATCAAATTTATAAGCGTATTCTCATAAAAAATATTCTGCATTTTGTAACTTGTAAACAGAAATTTTTATTGTGAAAAGTATTAATAAGATGCTTTTCCAATTAATACAACATTTTTCATGATTTGTTCTACAACTGCATTTTGGGGGGAAAAAACCTGCTTTTTTTTCCCTCTGCTGTTTATAGCTAGTGCTAGTGTTCCTTCTTATTCTTTAGTCTGAATTTCAGCCAAAGGCCTGCAAAGTCTGTATCTATTTGAACAATATGCTAATTATACTTTATTAGATGTGCTTGCCCTAGAGTAACCTACTTGCATTGATATTGGACAACTGCCAACCTGCAGCTTAATATCATGGTTATAATCCAATTGCTAGGCTGCATGCTGGTTTTCAAATATAGTTTTACAAAATGGGAACAGTAGGGGGCACGCAGAGCTCAAGATGTTTGTATCATACTGTATTAGGGGACCTTATTTTACTTGCTGGAATCGGTGGTCTTATTTTATTTAGAATGCTGACAATGGCATTCCTTTTTTGATATGCCTGTTATGTGTGATATGGATATAACATACTTGCAAATATTTTGATGTTATCTTTCAGTATCGTACTGCTGTTGTGTTTTACTTAATTTATTCCGGGGAGTGTGAGTGTGTGTGTACATACAGGACATTTTTAACAATATGTAACTAGCAACTGTACACACTATATTTTGCATTTTAATTCACAGAGTTTTACTTACTCTGAAAGTACTATGCAAATAGTAAAGCTTTATACAAATGATGGCTGTCATCATTCTTTTAGCATTTAAAATTTTATAAAGGAAACTAATTCACATTACAAAAGTGAATTGTGTTTTATCTTTAAACATTCAACTATAAAATGATTATATAAGGCAGGTAACAATATTATAACTGCTTCCTTTATATGGGCTTTTCTTGTTAACAAATACCTTTTCAAACGCCCAACTTATGCACTATATACAAACGCCAAAGAATTTTTCAAATTTTCCTTTGGGAAATTCAGCAGTGGAAAAGTGTTTGGCATGGTAAAGACAGAAGTATTCAATTTTTCAATGTGGCTTTGCCTTCTCAAAACTCTAGCAAAATTACAGTGTGAGCAAACATTTGACAGGTGTACCTGTTCATTGACGCGGGAATGTGATGGTCCATGATGAATGAGAATCTTCACAATCTCCACATCTCCTTTCCAGGCAGCCAGGTGAATAGGGAAGTAACCTTTGTTGTCTGCTACATTGGTTGATGCCTCATATTGAAGTAGTTTGAGTACTATGTCCCTAAGGAAAAAGAAAGAAAGAAGGAAACACAACAGAAAAGAAAATATGCTGAACAACACAGATTTATTAAACAGGTCATTATAAAAGCATACTACATGCTGGCTGGCAATTCAGAGTAATCATTCAAGGCACTGAGACGTAAAATTGGGTTTAAAAGTCTGCTTATTCAACATTTAGCTATTTTACTTACCTGGAAAACCACCAGCAGCGCGCACGCACACACACACACACACACACACACACACACACACACACACACACACACAGCATTGACTAACCAATGAAACTACTTTATAATAAAATTCATTTGGACAAAATTTATCTAATTTCATTAACTGGATGAATTAAATAAAATAATTAAGAAGTATACATCTTAACATTTTTTAAAAAAGGCTAGGTAGGGCCAGCCAAGTGGCACGTTGGTTAAGAGCTGGCTTGGGACACTCTTAAGTGTCTAAGCAGTAGGGCCACCGGTTCGGATCCCACATGAGGGCCAGTGACGCTGCGCCCTCTACAACTAAGATGGTGAACAATAGCTCGACCTGGAGCTGGGCTGCTGTGAGTGGCTGGTGATGGTGTGGGCTTCAGTGGGGCTACCATAAGCTGTCGAGAGCGGCCGGCAGATGGTGTGAGCTGCCGTCAAATGGCCAGCGAGCAACTGCCTCACCGGGGAAGAGCACAATGGTCACAATACCAACATGGACCAGTGAAGCGACGTCTTCCACAACTAGACTGAAGAACAAAAGGACAGCAACTTGTCTGTTCCCCTTCCCTGATTCCCCAATGCTGTTTCCCTCCCCCAATTCCCCAATAAAAATCTTTAAAAAAAAGGCCAGATAGCTCATACCTAAGGTTTACCCTAAAGGAAAAGCTGAGTTACAAGCAAACTTCTTGTTTAAAAAAAATATTGTACTACCAAGAGACAGTTAGGGAGTTTATACATCATTCCTATGAGAATTGGAATAAGGAATTGAAGATGCATATAAAAGAGAAAGCAGACAGTACAGTAGGAAAGGAACCCTTAATAGCTACCTGTAATATGTGCCCAGGGTTGAAAATAAGTTTACTAACTTTCAGCCACTACACACAATATACTCTGAATGTGTAATATTCATACTCTTGCACTCCTTAACCTTTCTCCTCCCAAGACCAATAAATGATTTCAAGAAGGCAATTCATTTATGAGACAGGTTCATCACTAATGCAATTTCAGTACATACTCAGTATAGTCTACCTATAACATTTTGTACTCAATCACCATCATGTTTTCAAAGTAAAAAATTTGAACGGCAATACTCAACCTCAGGAGGAATTAATAATTATCAGTATACATTATATTGAACTTTGTAACAATCAAAAACAGTATTTCTAAACAAAAACCATATTTTCGTTTGGATGCATTCAAAAAGCAAATTCTATTAATTCAATAACTGAAATCCTAGACAGACAGATATACAAATACATACATACATATATACAATTTTAATATATTCTGAAATTGTTTCTTAGCTATAACAAATCACCAATGGTGAGAATGAATGTAACAGAAAGAGAACTAAATTTAAATATTTGAAAAAATGAAGCCAGGTTTTAAATATAAGTAACAAATGAGAAAATCTGGAAGAAGTTTGAATAGAAATTAAGTTAAAACTCTGATAGACCACTATAGGCATTTAGAATGAGTCAGCCAAGGTGTGCCTTTGTGGTATGTGGATTATTTTGAACTAAAGACAACTGACACCCGGTGAACTCAAGAGAAATTTATCCCCCAAACGTATGCCCCGCCCCCTTCCCTTAACTACCTAGAATTTAAATTAGGGGCCCTATCCATAATAAGAGTTATTATCAGAGATAACCTTTTTTGACCTATATGATCAAAACAAATGTGGCAGGACAAAGATCTGACTGTTGAACATCTGTTCTTATCCATCTGACTGTCCCTCCTCCCTTCTGAAGCTCTAGCTGCCCAGCCTCATCCTTAGTTCAGGATGTCATACACACCTCATTTTACCTGTCTGTCTCCTAACCTCTCATGTACATAGGGTCTCTGACTCTCTTGTATGTGGAGCTCTCATACGTATGTAATAAAATTTAGTGATTTTCTCTTAATATCTGTCTCATGTCGATATGATTATTAGACCAGCCAAAAGAACCTAGAACGGTAGTGTAAAATTTCTCCTTTCCTCACACCACCAAAAAACAAACATGATGAAACACAAAATTACAATAAATGATAAAATACCTTGCCCAGAAAATGGCTTAAACTTACAAAAGAGAGCAGAATGTACGACACCAAAATATGCCTATTTGGCATAAGGATTATTTTAGGCTGATTACTTTTAAGATGGGGGTGGGAGGAAGCTTTGAAAACTGAGAAGTTACCCTTTTGTACAAGACATTTACATTTATAAAGAAAACCTCTATTCGTAAGTGTATCTCCCTCTGAGAAACAGAAGGAGAAAAATGACTCAATCTCTAGAAATTCTTATCCGTAGAGAAGGTAGAAACTTAAATCTGCATAACAACCCCATGCCCTTTTTCTGATAACCTCCCATAAGTTTTCTCTCTCCCCACACTTCCCTTACTCCAACATCTTTTGTCTTTGGCTGGAAATGGTATTTAAGGTGGTGGTTTGTGCCTTTTTGCAGAGTTACTCAGTTTTCCTGGGTCTCTACCATATATACTGAGGTAACAAATGTTATTAAGTTTATGGAGTTTTTTTCCTCCTGTTAATCTTTCTTTTTATTATGGGGGGAGTCTTAACCAAGAACCCAAAAGAATAGAGGGAATGGCTGGCCGAATGGCTCAGTTGGTTAAGAGCACAGGCTCTGAGCAACAGTGTTGCCGGTTCGATTCCCACGTGGGCCAGTGAGCTGCACCCGTGCTGAGCTGCTGCTGAGCTGCCAATAGGTAGCAGGATGTCTTAGCTGGTTGAGAGCATATGCTCTTAACAACTAGGTTTCCGGTTCGACTCCCGCATGGGATGGTGGGCTATGCCCACCGCAACTAAGATTGAACCTGCCACCTTGAGCTGAGTGGCCCTGAGCTGCCAACGGGCAGCCAGATGGCGACTGGACTTGGAGCTGAGCTAGGTGTGCCCTCCACAACTAAGACTGAAGGACAACAATTTGGCTGTTCCCCTTCCCCAATTCCCAATAAAATCTTTAAAAAAAAAAAAAAGAATAGAGGGCAAATTATTTTTCTTTCACCACACTTGGAACAATGGATTTAATTGATAAATGTATGAAACCATGATGAAATAATCAAGAACATGTTATAGAAATACTTAGAAAGTTCCAAAGAGTCCTAAATTTTCTGTTGATAATATTTCAGAAACAATAAGAATTTCACTGTAACATTCCTTTTAAAAATCAGTATTATTTTGTAAGATCTGAATTTAGAAAATTTGAATTCGAATTCCAGCTACTCAAACTTCCTAATGATGTGACCCTGAAGAAATTATTTAGTCTAATTTTTCTTTTTCTTTTCTTTAGGTGACATTGTAATAATAATAATGCCAACTGGTCAAGACTGGTAAGATTTCTAGATGAGATCATAGAAGAGATGTCCCTTGACAAATAATAAGGCACTAAACAAACATTAGTCTTGCCCCCAAGTCAAACTAAAATTCTTTAAAGGTGAAAAATGCTTCCAGCAGATCACCTTTGCAAAAAGGAACCTGAAAATCAGAACACCTGAAGGCTCTCCAGTTCATATACTTCTCCTCACCTCTCTGCCATGTAAGAGTTATTATATAGGGTCTTCTATTCTGAGATAAATGACTACAATGAGTTAACAAAGATTCAGTACCTACGAATAGCAAAAGCAACTAAAAATTAGATCTGGTGTGAAGTCCCAACTCTCTACCACTTACTAACTTGGTTACCTTGGGCAAATCAAGTAACTTCTGTCTGCCTTTCAGATATAATTAAAATAAAACTTAGATTCTATATCTTGCTGCCAGTCTCAAAGGGCTGTAGTGTGAATCAACTGAAAAATTAATATGACTATAAAATTGTATACAATCAAGCACTATTCTCAAGGCAGGCTGCAGCAATGTTGAACAATCCCAGTGATTTTTTTTAACTGAAATATTTCAGCATTTAAATAAAAGGTAAAATAATACCAAGGAAGCACACTTAAATACCTGACTCTGAAAGGCAGAATTCATTCTGTGAAAAATAGTCTTTTTTAAATTCATACATCAGAGAAAGATAATCATATAAAGGGTTTTAATTTTATTTCTCAATGCCTAAGCAAATAAAAAAATATTCTAGACTGTCTAAAAGCATTTCCTTTCAAAGGGTAAAGAGGAAAGTTTAATGGGGTCATCAATCCTATTTTTCTTTACCCTTACTCAAACCATTTGAATTTCATTTGTTCTTTGGCTCAATTTTTATTGGCATTTTCTAATAATGTACGCAATATGTACTCATTCTTTCTTTATTAGGAATATTTATGATATAGTAAAAAAACCTGACTAACTCACTGAAACTAATAATAAAAAAATAAAAATAAATTTTAAAAAGTTAAAAAAAAAAACCTAACTTACTGATCATTTATATTGTGTAATGTTACCACTGAAGGGGATCAGACCCCAAAATATGTCTCTTTGGTATAAGCACCATTTTAAGCTAAAGGCAATCAAAACCCAGCAGACTCAGGAGAAGTTCTTTATCTAAGTTTACATTGGAAAGGGAGCCTGTACAAGAAAAACAGTTATTACCAGAGATACCTTTTACCTAAGAAACTTTACCTGCAGAACAGGGCAGTCTTTGTTTTCCAAACACCTCTCACCTTCCTATGAATGGCCTTCCTCCCCTTGGTATCCCCAATCCCCTACCCCTTCCTTACTTAGCTCAAGATGTTATATAAGCCTCAATTACCTGGCTGCTTTTTGGATCTCATATTCTATGGGGCTCCCGTACATATGTAATTAAATTTGTTTTTCTTCCTGTTAATCTGTCTTATACCCATTTAATTATTAGAGCAGCCAAATA